AGGAGACCAGTTTGGCCTTTAAATCCTCATAAGGGGTTTCTGAGGAGGCAGCAGAACCCATGATCAGGCCGCGTACCGAGACCATAATCTTCTGGGGAAGTTTCTGTACGATGTGGTCGAATTTGGTTATTGACTGTGTGATCTGGGCGTTTCTGAAGGCTGCCTCTGCATGAAGGAACCACAGGTCGGGGTCCTCTGTCCAGAAATCCGGGAGCTTGACGGAGACTTTGGCGACAAACTCGGTTGGAGTTTCTTTCTTGTCGGTCATGATGCTCGGATGTATCACTTAATGTTCAAAGTTCAAGAAAATCACGAAACTGCATAGCGTTTAACTGTATGTTCAAAGTCGGGGGTCACCAATATAGAGGACGTGAGTCAGACTCTAATAAAAACGCATAAACAACTTCCAGCATATATATTTCTTATAACTTATTACTAGAGGGTTCAGAACTAGAGTCAATATCAATATCACACGTGTAGATGATTTATCAGTACTATGCCCCATATCCGTTCTATCTCATTCTGTTTGAATCTTGTGGAACTTGTTTAACGCGGCCAGGCATCGTCTTCCACAGTATATTAATTTTTTATTTTATATAAAACTCATTCTTTACAACATTATAACATAACTTGGCTTAATTTTATTCAACTAAATCATTGACAGCAAATACCTTGGCACATATACAGGCAAACCCTGGTTTTACGCAAATTTAAGAAATAATTTTCTGTAAAAAAAAATTAAATTTGGTTTGATTATGATGAATACTGTATATGTAGGATAGTAGAGAAAGAACAATTAGATGAGGAAGAGGAGAGAATTAAAAATCAGGCACAGGTGGGTACCAAAGATTATATACAAAGGATGAGTATGTGTGTAAATCTAAGATTATAAACAAAGGATGAGTATGTGTGTGAACCAAAGATTATATACAAAGGATGAGTATGTGTGTGTACCAAAGATTATATACAAAGGATGAGTATGTGTGTGTACCAAAGATTATATACAAAGGATGAGTATGTGTGTGAACCAAAGATTATATACAAAGGATGAGTATGTGTGTGTACCAAAGATTATATACAAAGGATGAGTATGTGTGTGTACCAAAGATTATATACAAAGGATGAGTATGTGTGTGTACCAAAGATTATATACAAAGGATGAGTATGTGTGTGTACCAAAGATTATATACAAAGGATGAGTATGTGTGTGTACCAAAGATTATATACAAAGGATGAGTATGTGTGTGTACCAAAGATTATATACAAAGGATGAGTATGTGTGTGTACCAAAGATTATATACAAAGGATGAGTATGTGTGTGTACCAAAGATTATATACAAAGGATGAGTATGTGTGTGTACCAAAGATTATATACAAAGGATGAGTATGTGTGTGTACCAAAGATTATATACAAAGGATGAGTATGTGTGTGTACCAAAGATTATATACAAAGGATGAGTATGTGTGTTTACCAAAGATTATATACAAAGGATGAGGATGTGTGTAAACCAAAGATTATATACAAAGGATGAGTATGTGTGGGTATCAAAGATTATAAACAAAGGATGAGTATGTGTGTGTACCAAAGATTATATACAAAGGATGAGTATGTTTGTAAACCATAGATTATATACAAAGATGAGTATGTGTGTAAACCGAAGATTATAAACAAAGGATGAGTATGTGTGTGTACCAAAGGTTATATACAAAGGATGAGCATGTGTGTAAACCAAAGATTATATACAAAGGATGAGTATGTGTGTGAACCAAAGATTATATACAAAGGATGAGGTGTGTGTACCAAAGATTATATACAAAGGATGAGTATGTGTGTAAACCAAAGATTATATACAAAGGATGAGGATGTGTGTTTACCAAAGATTATATACAAAGGATGATTATGTGTGTGGATCAAAGATTATATAAAGGACTAGCTTGGTAACCCAGATTTGCCCAGGGGAGTCATGGTTAGTTCCACCGTTTACCACTTTGTCGTAAATGACGATTTTACCTATTTTTCCAGTTAAAAGTAAACCCACTCAATTTATAGTCCAAGCTAAGAACATTCCCGTGGTTCTCCCGAGTTCCCCAATTAAAATTTGAGACAAAAGAGATCACATCTTTATATATAGAGATGAGCATGCAAAACATATAGTGGCATATCCCATTGTAACCTACATAAATTACTTTGTACATTGTCTGTAAATCTAAATGCGCTTATCAGTAAATACTGAAATCTTGTATTGCGATTAACCTAACCTAGATAGGTATATATATAAAACTTCATCAAACCCATATTGTGATTAGCTTAACTACGTTTGTATATAACGACACAAAACTTGTAATTACGTCTATTAAACTTAATCTGTAATCTAGAATCCAAAATATACTCAGTTGAAACAGACTCTTCAATGATTACCAAGCAAGAGTAGTTGTGCCTGACATTGTGTCCGAGTTAAAACATTGATAGTTTAAAAGATTGTGTCCTCGTTAAAACATTGATAGTTTAAAAGATTGTGTCCTCGTTGAGGCATTGATAGTTTATGAGATCGTTTCCTCGTTGAGGCATTGATAGTTTATGAGATCGTGTCCGAGTTGAGGAATTGATAATTTACGAAATCATGTCTGAGTTGAGGCATTGATAATTTATGAGATTGTGTCCGAGTTGAGGCATTGATAGTTCAGAGTTGAGAGATCGTTATAACTGGATTGACACATGCTTGAGAAACCCTTATATATATTGTATAGTTGGGTACCTAAGGTTATATATAGGATGAGTATGTGTGTGAACCAAGGACCAAGGATTATATATAAAGGATGAGTATAGGTGTATACAAAGGATTATATCTAAAGTACGAGTATAGGTGTATACAAAGGATTATATATAAATGATGAGTATAGGTTTGAACCAAGAATTATATATAGAGGATGAGTACAGGTGTAAACCAAGGATTATATAAAAAGGATGAGTATAGGTATAAACCAAGGATTATTTATAAAGGATGAGTATAGGTGTGAACCAAGGAATATGTGCAGGATGAGTATGGGTGTGAACCAAGGATTGTATATAAAAAGGATGAATTTATGTGTGTACCAAGGATTAAGTATAAAAGATGAATTTATGTGCATACCAAGGGTTATATATGAAGGATGGGTATAGTTGTGCATTGCACTAATAACAATGTATAGAATGAATTAAGATGGTTTTAGTTTAAAAACCCAACATTGAGATTCGAGGTCATTCGATATTTGGGAAGTTGGGTAAACAATTCCATTCGAACATTTCTTAAATTTCTTAAAATTGATAATCATTTTTGGCTCATCAGTATAAAAATCATTGACGGCTTTGTTTATAATTTTGGACCTCTAAAACACGTGAAAAAATGTTAAAGCAACAAGTCATTTTTCAGTCATGATTTTAACTAAAGAAATTTACGAGTTATAAGTATATGTTTCAGGACCTTTTTTCTTGTGATATTATAAAACTTTAGAAATAAAAGAAAATTGTCTTCGAGGCATATTTAACCAGTTTTGTAACTTTGAATTATCATGTTAATGATCGTCAGCTTTAGGGCTTTTAAGCTGTTTTAGAAGGTATATAGGTTGATTGTACATTCTCAATTATTAAATATTATTCATCAACTTGTTGGAAAGGAAATTGATAAACATTATTTTGACATTTTGTTTCCATTTTTATGGTCTAAGTAATCATTAGTAACATGCAAAACAAGTATTATTGTAAAATAAATTGCACAATTTTGTAGAACAATCTAGAAACTTGGGAAATAGGAAATATTACACGAATTACAGACACAGAAGCAATTACAAATGATAATGAATTATAGACACAGACACAATTACAAATGATAATGAATTATAGACACAGACACAATTACAAATGATAATGAATTACAGACTTAGGCACAATTACAAATGATAAAGAATTGCAGACACAGACACAATTACAAATGATAACGAATTACAGACACAGACACAATTACAAATGATAATGAATTACAGACACAGGCACAATTACAAATGATAATGAATTATAGACACAGAAACAATTAAAAATGATAATGAATTACAGAACAATGTCGGCGGATGAAAAATTCGGTTAGTGGGAAGAAATGATGGGGAATTTGATTTCACTTGTGGTCGGACGAAAAAGGGGTGTGGTGTGCCTTCCCTCCCTCTTCTGAAAGTACTATTTGCGGTATGCCTTCCCTCCCTCTTATGAAAGTACTATGTGTGGTGTGCCTTCCTTCCCTCTTATGAAAGTACAATGTGTGGTGTGCCTTCCCTCCCTCTTATGAAAGTACTATGTGTGGTGTGCCTTCCTTCCCTCTTATGAAAGTACTATGTGTGGTGTGCCTTCCCTCCCTCTTATGAAAGTACTATGTGTGGTGTGCCTTCCCTCCCTCTTATGAAAGTACTATGTGTGGTGTGCCCTCCCTCCCTCTTATGAAAGTACTATGCAAATGTAGATTTAGCAAAACTCTGTTTTCTCAGCAAAAATACAAAAAATGCTTAATTGTTTTTTTTTTCAAGGAAGCTGAGAGGATACTGACGGAAGCAAGTTTATCTAAGAAAACAAAGTAAAGAAATAGTAAAAATGTTTAAACTTAAAGATACTGTAAACGTAATTTCAAGGGTAACGCGGTTGCAATTCCCGATTTACAACGGTACCCTTAAAAGTTTGTCTCAATAAGTATGAATTTCATATCCATGTTTTGTTCCTTTATCTGTTTATTTTCATTTACGGTTTCTTTACAAAAATGACTTGCGAATTTCTTGTTTACAAGAAGCAATGGAGAAATTGTCAGAATTAAACACTTTTCGAGTCATCTTTTGTCAGATTAAGGTTTCAAGGGCATAGACATCTTTGCATGCAGGGTTGGTTAAATTGCGCTTACAGTCTCTAAACAAATTATTATTCGTCCAAAAAAACTTTTTCGAGAAAGAGATGTTCAGGTTGTTTCTTTCTTGCATTTATTATCATCTTTTTTTAGAAAAGTGAATTTGCTCAGTGAAAAACACCGACAAAGAGAAAAATTTCGAAGGTGTGTATTATAAGTTACTTTTGACTTTTGTCGAGTTAGGTAAAAATTTTAGTTAAGTTAAACAGACCTGAGTTGAGTCGAGTTATTTTTAGTTGAGTTAGGTAAAGTTGAGTTGAATTGAATTAAGTTTGGTGTAGTTGAGTTGATTTTATTTTAGTTTAGTAGTTTAGTTTAGTTTAGTTTAGTAGTTTAGTTTAGTTTAGTAGTTTAGTTTAGTTTAGTAGTTTAGTTTAGTTGAGCTTAATTGAGTTTAGTTGATTTTAGTTGAGTTTAGTTGAGTTTAATTGAGTTTAGTTGAGTTTAGGTGAGTTTAGTTAAGTTTAGTTGAGTTTAGTTGAGTTTAGTTAAGTTGAGTTTAGTTGAGTTCGGTTGACTTAAGTTTAGTTGAGTTTAGTTGAGTTGGGTTGTGGAGTTTGGTCGAGTTGGGTTGAGATGGGTTGAGTTGAGTTCGGTTGAGTTAAGTCAAGTTGAATTGAGTGGTTGAGTAGGGTTGAATGGAGTTGAGTTAAGTTGAGTTGAGTTAGGTTTAAATGAGCTCAAGTAAGTTTGGTCCTCGAGTTTATTTATTTTTAGTTCTAGTTATGACTTATGAAACAATTACATGACCTAAAGAAAAAGACAAACAAATTGAAAAAGTTATGTTTTTTATTACAAATGTTAAATCTGTAATTTACAAAGTGCTGAGAAACCGAATTTTACTCAGAGAAGTTTTAATCTGTAAATTACAAAATTTTTTTTTGGAAAGGAGGTATAGACTTTACTTTGATTTAAAGGGCATGTTCTTGTAATTTCAAGTTACCCTCCATTAAAAGACCAAGTCACAACGGTTCCCTTTAAACATTCATCTGTAGAAAATGTCGTATTTTGCTATCTTGCAAAGTGTTTGAACCTACAGTTTCCGCCATTGTTTCTGATGCTGAAATCCGCAAGTCACTTCCCTAAGAAACAAATGCGGGCTGAAATTATTTGGTTTGGTTTTCTCCGAGAGGAGATTTTAAGTTGAAGACGACATTACCCGGAGGTCTTAAAGTTAATGGTTAACACAAGTGCTTTATAGTGCTAAAATGTATACATGTAAAGGTCTACATCAAAGCCCAAGGCGTTGCGACATTTCAAAGTCGACCCTGTCATAAAAATTTATGAGACTTTTTATAAGAAGGCTAAATTTATGTGCTATTCATAGAGTGACATGTCTGATTCACAACGGTATCCTGAACAGCTTAGTCTGATCAAGTATCAATAATTATTCCATGTTTTTCTCATTAATACTTAATAATTTTCATTTGTGGTTTCTGTACAAAAGCTGTCACTTATCAAGCTAGAAAAAAAGACAATATCCTCAAATTTGTACTCAGATATAAGGTACAAATAGGGTTTGCAGCAAACGAAACGTTGCGTGAAAAAATACGAAATTTTATCGAATTTCGCAGACTTTTTCGAGAAATTTCGAATTTTATGGCGGAAATGAATGATGCGAAAATGCAAAAACAAAGCGAAATTTCGCAAGAAATAATGTTCGTGAAAATTTCGCATTTCTTGAAAATATTTTCGCGAAACCTTTTTTCAAATAAATGTTCACGAAAACCATAGGCGTTAAAGCTATATTTTATCTTTTTTGATGAATTTTCGCAAAAATTTTGCAGTTTTTTAAATTCCGAACTTTTTCGCGAAATTTTCACATTTTGTTAGATTTTTTTTGCAAAAATTTCACATTTCTCTTCTCGCGAAAATTTCGCATTTTTCGCGAAAAAAAAATGTTTGCGAAAAAAGCAAAATTTTCGCTAAACGACTTTTACTTCTTACTGCAAAATTTTGTTAAAACATTTCTTGGATTTTTTTCTTTAAAATCTGTGCTTTTCATTATTGTCGCTCTTGTCAAATCCAGAAACCGTAAAATACTTTCCATTACGTAATTGACCAATTAAATTTTAACGCAGAACTTTTTTATTTGAACAGAAATTAAGATTTTAAGTGTTATAATAAAGCTCTTCACTCATATATATTTTGACTGTTTTTTAAAGACGGATTTTGTTTTTAATCAAAATTTTTTTATTAGATTTTTTTTACGTGCAACGCCGGGCACTTGAGTAAGTATAAGATAATTTAAATGAAATATTATCTGACTGAAATTTTATATAACAAGTTGTTTTAATGTCAAACTACAGTAAATTATCATCAACAAAAATGTTTTTATTTTAAAATATGTAATCGGAAGTTTTTTTCTAAACAGAATGCTAAAATATGGACTGAAAGGTTCTGATAATTCTTCAGTTGAAAACTTAAAACTAGTTATTTACCTTGAATATCAGGAACCTCACACAAATGCAAGACTCTACGATAGATGCTGGAAAGTCCACTCTGGAGTTGGGACAAACTTTGGAGGGACATATTCAGATGGGACATAGGATAAATTCCGGTGGGACAAATTCCTGTGGGACAAATTTCGGAGGGATAAATTACAGTGGGACAAATTCCTGTGGGACAAATTTTTGTGGGATAATTTCTTGTGGGATAAATTCCAATGGGACAATTTCCATCGGGACATTTTCCAGCGGGACAGATTTGGGTGGAACAAATACCGGTGGGATAAATTCCAGTGGGACAAATTTCTGAGAGATAAATTCCGATGGGACAAATTTCGGTTTGAAAAATTCTGGAGGGACAATCTGAGGGGACAATTTGATTTACCAAAAAATATAGGGTTAAACGAGAAGCAGGAATTTGTAAAATACGCGACCGAGGGTAAAACGAGCTGATGGGGTCAAAAAGTGCGATAAACGGGAAATATACACAAATCACTTGGGCATAATTAGATCTGTGGTCCTGGTGCTCCGCCATTTGTCTTATCCTAGCCGCATCGCTCGGCCAAGAAACTGTCTTAATCCAACCAATTTTCACATTTGGTGTTTGTCCCTTTATCTCGTTTTTGTCCAATGATCGTTTCACTCGGTTAACCGAGTCGCTTTATTTCTTCTATTAGATATTAAAATATTGAATTTATGCATTTTTCAGTTTGAATGAGTTTGATTGTGTAATCGAAATGTTAAGTCCTGAAAGGTAAATCATCTTAATTAATTATTAAAGACTATCTAAAGGGCCTTGGGAAAAAGATACGATTAAAAAAAATAATAGTGAAAAATCGTTTTTTTTAGCTTATAGCACCCCCACGCCACTCATGAGTGTTCACAAATAAATTTTAACCCATTCGGTCCAGCCGTTTGGGCCGGCTATAGGCAACATATATATGAATGTCTTATTATATAGATTTTCAATTTAAATTTTCAATTCAATAGGATTAATTATTAAGGGACTGTACCAGATTTGATCCTGTTGTTAGGTAAATTTTTTTATCTTAATTAAATGGATCAATTTAAGAGTTACATATGTGACACATTCAATTCACAACGATCCCTTTAACACTTGGAGAAATCCTTGTTTTTCTTTCACAATTGACTTTACAATAGACTTTACAATTGACTTGTGGAATTATGCTGAAGAGACAAGGAAGACCCGGAAATTGTCATAATTCCTTTCTTTTTAAGAAATCCTTCTGGTTAATATATACTAAGATAATAACGAACCTTTGTGAATTACTTTTTAAGGGTCCAAATAAATACAAACTGAGTATTGTTATGAAACACAGTACCGGAAACCCGCGGTTTCATGAACGGGGTCAGTTAGTTTTGTAGATACCAATATTTTTGGTTTCTCATTTCTCATTTATGGCATTCTCGGTTTGCTTTCTGATTTCTGAAATTATTATCTAAGCCAATGTATGATTCCAAGAAGAAAACTCGGCCGTTTAATTCAACGATTTAGTATCTTAATTTCTTTCTCAAACATGAAGGATGGATATCAATATTCATTGTAGAGGAAAATTGAATTAATGTGTCCATATTTTAATATTTTAATATTAAAATCAATTGAACCATGAATATCAAGAATTATGCGAAAAGTACTTAAAAATAAAGTTTGTTTCTAAGAGCTGTTGAGTTGTTTAAAGCACTGGACATAAACAAGGTAAAAATAGAAAAAATTATTATAAATTTTACATTTTTAAATGATATTTTGTTTCAACCAAACTGCTTACAGTGGTAACCAGAAAACAGTAAAAATATGGGCTTTCGCAACTTTTCTATATACCACTTTTAGCTGTTACCCGTTGCTCTTCAAGATTCAATTTTTCTTTGGAAATTGAATTACGCGGATTTTATTTTCAGGAAAAATGGGTTTTCCAGAATTTTAGAAATTTGACCGACGTTCATTCCCCAGTTTTCTGATTTTTAACGTATAATATCTAAAATATCTAAAAATTAGTTGGCGCACTACTTTATACTTAAAAACATCACCCTGAACCGTTAGAAGACGACCCTACTAAAATATAATAAAGGATTCCCATAAAGGATGCAACTTTAATGACGACTTCAACGAAAAAAAAATATTTGAAGTTTAAATTTTGTATTTAAAATCATGCATATAGTTTTTGAATGATATATTAAATAACTAAATGGAGTAACCGGCAATGTAAGGAAGTTTAACCCTATTCCTGCTCACCCCCCCCCCCCTGTAGTTTTTTTACATAACTCAAAAAGTATTGATCTGAGGCTGTTGAAATGTTTTTGACTTCTCCTACATACCCAAAGCCCTTCCTTTAGGCCTAAAACCGGGCTTTAATACTAACTGCCTGAGTCCTCAGGCACACTGCCTGAATGACTGCTTTTTCCTGTAACAAACTAAATCTTTGTTTTGACCCACTTTCACTTGTCAGATTTTGATCAAATTTAGCTTTTTAGAAGCCTATGACATAGGGAAACGGATTTCACAAGTTTTGCGAGAAAAAAAATTGCTAATTTTTTGCAAACAACCTGTCAAAGGAAATTTGCATATTTTTAGTTTTTCTTGATTAAAAATCAGGTTATTGAAAAATTTTTTGCATTTTTGAAATGGCATGGTCAAGGGTTTTTCAAAAATGTATAATTTTCATTTTTTGGACAAATTTTTTTTGCAAACAATTTTACTATGTAACTGGATTTTGCGATAAAAAATCCAATTTTCGCAAATTTGCAATTTTTTTTGCAGATTCTAAAAGTAGAGCACAAGAGCTTTCTAAGGATGTAACATTTGTCATATTTGGACATCAAACATGGGATTTAGAGGGGCCCCCCCTGCATATCCTGGTTTTCAAGTACCCCAGCAGGGATAGGGCTAAACTGAGATTGCAGTATTATTTGTTCAGCAAGAGCTCAACTGCAATTTTGAAAATCCTCATTGATAGTCCATTTTGGGGGGATAATTTTGAGGTTCGAATATATAAAAATTATTCAAAAATGACAAAGAAAAATGTTACAAAATTTTTACAGTAAACTAATTAGATGTTCAGTAACTTATTTCTCATTAGCTTTGGAATTGATTCTTTGCCACAAATTCAGTGTTTGTAAAACCTATTTCTTTGCAACCTTATGATGCAAACCTTTGATATTTCAAACTTACATTATTTGATCTATTAGCGTTCATAGTTTGAAATATTAAAGGTCTACGACATTGGGTTGCAACGATATTGAAATAGGAAAATCAGAGTTTGTGGTAAAAACTCAATTCCTTTGTCAATAAATAGATGTTAGAATCAATAGTTTCTTTTTCATCATTATATTGAGTTTCTTCTTCTATATGAATTTGTTTGCAGATTTCTTCACATTCTTCAAATGTCGTCTTTTGATTAAAAAATCCCGGAAATCTACACAAAATGGTTTTGAACATTGAGACAATATAAAAAACAAGAACTGGATAAGATTACTTATTTTTGATGATAAGAGCTAATCTTTTTTTCTCAACCTGTTCCTAAACAACTAAATAGCATACTGTAGAATATTTGTCACATTTATTCGTTGTCGTCATTGAATAATTTAAATGAAACCGATTCTCAAAATCATCCCTATAAAATGGACAATCTATGAGGAGTTCAATAATTGCATTTGCGGTCTTGCTGATCAAATTTGCACAGTAAACACGTCTGAAATGTCTTAAATGGCTCCAAAAATAATTCTCAATAATACTGCAATCTCACCTCAACTACCATAATTGCCGGTCACTCCCTTTAAGGCAAAGAAAAACCATGAATATTAAAAAAAAGATTAATGAATTTCATACAGAACGTGTATAAGCATGAAGTTTTCGTTAACCTGTTTTAACCAGCATTTTTAAACTTTTTTATTCATTAATGTCATGTTTTCTGGAAAACACTGTATCTGAGCAATCTACAATGGTAACCAAAAATCTTTAGAATATAAAGACGACTTTAAGTCTCAATCAGGGAGCAAGGAATAGAAGGGAGAGACAACTGACGCGGTTCGCCCTACCATATGATTATACATGCTTTGCAGACGATACTCCATTTTATATCGAGATGTTTGGTTTCTTTAGTAGGGCCCCACAGGAAAAATATGTATTGGCTCAATTTTCTTTGACCAGTTTCGCCAATACATATTTTTCCTGTGGGGCCCTACTAAAGAAACCAAACAGCTCGATATAAAATGGAGTACCGTCTGCAAAGCATGTATAATCATATGGTAGGGCGAACCGCGTCAGTTGTCTCTCCCTTCTATTCCTTACTCCCTGGTCTCAATCTATGACTTGAAAAAGTCCAATGAGGCACAGCGACTGTGCAGCGTTCACAGACTCATTTCACTTAATGATATGATTTTCAAGCTAAAACTATTTGTTTTTAACCACATCAAACAAACTAAATTATTACATAATGTCGTCTTCCTTTTTCACAGGTTTCTGGTTCTCACTGTATCAAAAACTAAATCATAACACTAAAACTTTAAAAATGAATTTAATGATTTATTTGTGAACAGGATGGAGTTGTAACTGAAGACGAGTTTATCCAAGGATGTATGCAGGATACAGTCTTTGTTGATCTTTTAGACAATTTTGATGGACAATCTATCTGGGGGTCCCTACACGGTACACCTTAATAGATATATCTGGGGGTCCCTACACGGTACACCTTAATAGATATATCTGGGTTCCCTACAGGGTTCAACTTGATAAATATGTCAAGGGGTCCCTACACGGTACACCTTAATAGATATATCTGGGGGTCCCTACACGGTACACCTTAATAGATATATTTGGGGGTCCCTACACGGTACACCCTAATGGATATATCTGGGGGTCCCTACGCGGTACACCTTAATAGATATATCTGGGGGTCCATAAACTGTACACCTTAATAGATAAATCTGGGGGTCCCTACACGGTACCCTTAATAGATATATCTGGGGGTCCCTACAAGGTTCACCTTGATAAATATGTCTGGGTTCCCTACAGGGTTCAACTTGATAAATATGTCAAGGGGTCCCTACATGGTACACCTTGATAAATCTATCTAGGGGTCCCTACATAGTACACCTTGATAAATATATTCATGGGGTCCTTACAGGGCACACCTTGATAAATATACCTGGGGGTCCCTACAGGGTACACCTTAATAAATATATCTGGAGGTCCCTTATATCTGGGGGTCTCTTCAGGGTACACCTTGAAAAATCTGGGGGTCCCTAACAAAGAACTGCAAAATTTTAAAAAATTGTTATTTGTTTTTAATTGTATAGGATCCAAATAAAGTTAACAATATATCTGCTTAATATTTTGAGAGACGTATTCAGGGTTCAGGAGGATACGTCCTCCCCCCTCCCCCACCTTCCCCCCGTGAAAATTTTTTTTCTACGTCACTAGATATTCCTATCATAATTTCATAAATTGGATCCTGGAAATCTTAAATTGGTTTTATTATTGTTAATAAAAGCATTCATCCTAGAAAATAGTTTATTATTTGTTTAGAATCTATTATGCTTTAATGTAGCCTTGTAAGAACATAAATCAAAAAGGAAGAATTATCAGAAAATATTTTAATTAGAAATTGAATCTTCTTAAATGTGAAAACGTATTTACAAGAATTATAATTTTATTTTTTAAACGATTCTATTACTTTTTATCATCTAATTTAAGTATAAAGTATCTACTTATTCCTCATTTTGTAATTTTATTTTTTCAAATCTATTCTTATGTCTCATCTGTTAAATTTTTAAGGTCTGATAGAAAAAATTAAATGCAATTTATTCAAAACTGATCTGATAGGTAGATTTCACTTTTTTTAATGAATTTGGTCGTTTCCTCAACGAAAAAAATGAAATCACAGCGACACAATCGTTTTTGAAAAAAAAATTTGAAACAAAATAGTGAATTAGTTTTTATAAGTCATAAAACAAAACAATTGGTTAGGTATGTATAATATCGTTTTCAAAACTATTCTCTTCAAACTAATTGTTTTTAAAAGTTAAAATTATTTTTGATTTGTTTTTTGTTTTCAAAAGAGAGAACAATCGTTTTTAACATAAAAAACAATGCATAGTTTGTTCAAGATAAAATAGGTTTAACATTGTATAAATAAAATTATTAAAACTATCTTCAATCAAGTTTCGAGTAACTTTTTTTGTTTTAAAAGCTTAAAAATAATATTTAGGTGGTTTTAGCATATTCTCTTTATAAAAACGAACGTTTGTTAAATTTTAAAAAATCCAACAGAACGAAATTCAACTATGTTGCATTCATTGGACCTAACTTATTATTATGCACTAATAGAAAATGTTAATAATTGAAAGGGTTTATTAAGTCTGAGGCGGCTTATAATATTTTCCAGGGTGGAAATAATTGAAATATGTTTAGTGAGCGATGAGTGCCGAAATTTTGTAGCCATGAGTAGCTTGGCGGGTGAAAGGTACATGTTAAATGTGTTGCAAGATTTAGATTTTTTTAAATCTTTAATTTGAGTTAAAAGTGGCGCCGTACGGAAATTTAATTATGAATCAATTCTAAAAAAATCAAAATTAAAGGACTAGAATGTGCCTGCTCTCCCTTCTTGCGATCAAAATTTTTCCAGGGAGGGGGGGCCGCCCCTCCTTCCCACCCCCATAAACCGTTTAAAGTGTAACTAAACATAATAATGAACACTATTTTCTCTTGAAAATTGTTTTAAATTTTAATAAATTTGCTAAAAATCACTAAGTATGAAATATAACGACGACTTTTAGATTATACATATGATTTTAAGTTGTACTGAACGTTCTACCTCTGATTGATTAAAAAATGTTACTTGGTAAATTGGTGATGTTAACGTTTTAATTTTTTTAAACGATCGTTTCGGTATGAAAACGACGACAAAAAACGAAAACGAAACAATCGTTTCTAAGAACGATCGTTATTTAAAAAGTTCGTTTTCAAAACAATCGCTTTGGAAAATGATCGTTTTTTATAAGGCTGGCCCTTTCGTAAACGATCGTTAAAGTTAAATTTTTATAAAGTTCGTTGTTTCGTTAACGATCGTTGACGACAACCCTTCGTAAACGATTGTTAACATATTTATCAATGAAAAATAAAAACAAAAATTCAAAAACAATAGTTTTTTAAAACAATCGTATAAAAAACGAACGAAGATCGTTTTCATAAAAACGATCGTTTTTCAAAAACGATCGTTATTAGTTTTCTAAAAGTTCAAAACGATTAACAACCCTACTGAGTTGGTATACATTAGAAATAAAGGGATTGTTGGATTCTGTAGATAATATTTTTATCGTCAACTGGCATGTTTTTTATTAAATCCGTCTAATTCAAATATTACATTCACACAATCGTGCTGCGTCAAAAAAATCTAAATATTCGACTGTTAAACTCTAAAAAATGATTTTATTAATACTTTTCTTCTATAATTTTAAAGTTAAGAATTAAAAGCAAAAAGATTATCAAGTACAATAGGGTGGCAACAGAGAAATGTACCAAGATCAAATAAAAAAGTGTGAAATCAGAAAATAAAGAACACAAAATTGCACTTATTTTACTGTGGATAAACACTTAATTATCACTATTATTAGAATTTGATTTAAAGTATAACCTACTGAGTTGGTATACATTAGAAATAAAGTGAAATAATCTGATTGTTGGATTCTGTAGATAATATTTTTATCATCAATTGGCATGTTTTTTATTAAATCCGTCTAATTCAAATATTACATTCACACAATCGTGCTGCGTCAAAAAAATCTAAATATTCGACTGTTAACTCTAAAAAATGATTTTACTAATACTTTTCTTTTATAATTTTTAAGTTAAGAATTAAAAGCAAATAGATTATAAAGTACAATAGGGAACAGAGAAATGTACCAATTAAACATGCCGTCACAAGTGTCAAATATAAGAAGAAAGACAACATTTTATCCCATTAGTTGACATGTTTTCCAAGATTAAATAAAAAGTTTAAAAATAGAAAATAAAGAACACACAATTGCACTTATTTCACTGTAGATAAACACTTAATTATCACTATTATTAGAATTTGATTTAAAGTATATGAAACTAATTAATTCCTTGTGTTATAAAACTTCATTTTGTTTAACAGTAAAACCTCTTTTATTTTAATTTTATTTAGATTTTTATACATTTAAATTTATTATCATGATCAATCAATGGTTCATGTATCAAATGTTAAATTTTAACGTAAGATGAAATTTAAAACAATTTATTTTCATGTCTTAAAAAAACGGGAAATTAAAATATTAAAAACTTAAAAATGATTCTCTGTTATCAATTTAATCCACTAGAAATGTTATCTGTCAGCAATATAATCCTTTAAGAAATGTTTCTGTTAGCTATCTTTTCTTAAAAATAGTTCTTTGTTAGTAATCTAATCCTCTAAAAGGTTTTCTGATAGCAATTTAATCCTTTAAAAATGTCTCTGTTAGCAATCTGATCCTTTTAGAAAAGTCGCTGTTAACAATCTAGTCCTCTAAGAAATGCCTCTGTTAACAATCTAAATGTCTCTACTATCAATATAATCCTTTATGAAATGTCTCTGTTAACAATTTAATACTTTAAAAATGTCTCTCTTAACAATTTAATTCTTTTAGAAATGTTTTTATTAGCAATCTTATCTTAAAAATAATTCTTTGTTATCAATCTAATCCTTTAAGTCTCTGTTATCAATCTAATCCTTTAAGAAATGTTTCTGTTAGCAATCTTTTCTTAAAAATAGTTCTTTGTTAGCAATCTAATCCTCTAAAAGGTTCACTGATAGCAATTTAATACTTTAAAAATGTCTCTGTTAGCAATCTAATCCTTTAAGAAATGCTTCTGTTAGCAATCTTTTCTTAAAAATAATTCTTTGTTAGCAATCTAATCCTCTAAAAGGTTCTCTATTAGCAATCTAATCCTTTAAAAATGTCTCTGTTAGCAATCTGATTCTTTTAGAAAAGTCGCTGTTAACAATCTAGTCCTCTAAGAAATGTCGCTGTTAACAATCTAGTCCTCTAAGAAATGTCGCTGTTAGCAATCTAATCCATTAAGAAATGTCTCTGTTATCAATCTAATCCTTTAAGAAATGCCTCTGTTAACAATATTATCTTTTAAGAAATGTCTTTGTTAGCAATCTTATCATTTAAGAAATGTCTCTGTTAGCAATCCAGTTATTTGTAAAATGTCTCTGCTAGCAAACTAATACTAATAGCAATTTATTTATTCTAATACCCATATCCATGTCAAGTTAAAACCTTTATAATTAAATGAGTGTGGAATTGATAAAAATAAGAATCTAAACAATCTTAGAAAATATTCAACTTTTAATCTCTGGGCAATATTAGAACAATTCTACAATTCTGAACTGAAAACTTTATTAAATCTATTCAATTTATAAGAATATTTATGTAAGCATAAATTGTTATTGATCTATTCTCAAAAAGAAGTATCTTCTCTAAGATTCTTTTATCTATATATAAATTTAGCTTGTCTGTCATAGTGTTAGTTTGTTTGTAATAAACGTCAAAACGGCTGAACCGATCGGGCCCAAATTTTGTGTGGGACCTCACGTGACCCCAGGGAAGGTTTATGAATGATTAAAATTTCAAAAATTTGCGTTTAAAAGTTTTTTTGTAAAGTTTAAAAAATGGACGAAAAAAATATTTTGAAATCTGCAAACTTTTTTGTTTTTGTTTTAATACTGTCTGCTACTTTGTTATAATGGTTTCCTGCAACTTCAAACTTGTTTTGTTCTTTTAAAAATCATGACTGTAGTCACTGCAGAAGACTTAATTCAACCTTTGAATCGTCATCATATATAAAAGAGTTCTAAGCGTCTTTACAGTATCATCCTGTGTGGGTAACCCAGTATTAAATCCTAAAGAAGTTTCCGGAATTCACTTTAGAAATTTTAATCAGATTTTGTGGTTTAAAGATAATTGAAAATTGTGTTACAAAAACAAACAATATGTCAGAGCAGAAAGTGCTTATTTAATTTAGTGATAATGTGCAAACCAATGGAGTAACAAGCAAAACTACGGTTTCCAGCGAAAGAAAACTTTTGCGAAAAAATGGTAAAAGCCAAAAAAAAATTTCGTATTACACAAACTTTTTCGTGAAATTGCGGATTTTTTTGTGAACATGAATTTTGCGAACGGAAGCAAAAACGATACGAAATTTCGTGGAAACCCAAGAACCAAAATGTGAGACAATTTACCGATATTCTGTTTCGCAAAAAAAGCGAAATTTTCGCGAAAAAGATTCACCATTTCGCTGGAAACCCTGTTTAAAAATAATTTGAAGAATTCGTAAGAATTATCATGAGTAAGGTGACAGTTTTAAAAAGCATACAAGTTTTCCCTAAATAACAGACAGGATGTCGTCTTTTCAAGATTTCTGTGTGTTTCGTTCCCAATAACCCGAGACAGAAGCCCTAAGGAGTAACACGTAGTCGGCGTAGATCAGGCTCTCTCTCCAAAGAGAATAGAATATATATTAGAGTGGAATTTACTAGAAAAAAGTGTAAAACGGCCATTTTGTTTGTTTGTACTGTTTCCATACTGCAGGTGTACTTCACATAACCTTTTGGGCCCTGGAACATCATTTTATAAAAAAAATCTAAAATTAATATTAAAAGAAAACCAAATTATGAAATAGGCTGGTTTCATAATTGACCAATTGTAATATTCTATTCTCTTTGTCTCTCTCTGTCTTTGTTATAGGTTGCATATAATAAACACAACCAACTATTTTAAAGTTAAACAAATTAAATTAACATATTATTATTCTTTTAATCAAAGCCATCATAGAAATCTCTTTATGATGATAATAATTGATATAATTATTGTCAGCGCCCGGCTTTAGTACATGAAAACTATTAATTTTAGTTATTGTTTTTTGAGGAAAACAAAATATATTCGGTATTAAGACTATCGATGTTAAATTTAGTTTAGGATTTAGCTATCTAGGCCCCTAAAAACCGAAAGAGTCCTAAGGGGCACGGCACTAAGATTATGAATCTACGTAATAAAGTCGTTCAAGAACAAATGTTTCTGGAATAAAAAATAAATAAAAAAATAACTTAGTGGAAAAGTGAAATTTGCAGTCGTCAACCTACTTAAACATTTGCAGTCTTCAACCTACTTAAACATTGCATGATTCTTGAAATGTCTAATTCATCTAGTCCTGGCATTTCCAAAATGTGGTCTGCCTTTTTTGTGCTTTCAATATTGCCCGAGATATTAAGAATTTAGTTAAGATTTCAATTATTTATAATAGTCGAAATCTGAACGGACACTATTGAAAGTACAGTATAGGGCAGACCACATTTTGGAAATGCCAGAACTAGAGATATTTTGTGATTATTATCTCCAGAATTTTACTTCTAAAGTCAGGTTGACCCATGAACTCAGGAAATTATTTCAAAAATCTGCTGTATGATATTACAACTTACAAGAAAAAAAATTACAAAAAATATTTAAAATGGTAGATTTTACTTTTTCCAAGAACCTTTCACTTTTCCTACCGAACTTTTTATCGCCAAATTTTTTAGACATTTTTTGTGACGGTTACCGGAGCGCAGAGACTACCGTTTTCCTATTTTCAGCCCCCCTTCCCCCCACCCCATATTTTCAGCATGNCCTCCTTCCCCTATTCTGCACCCTTCCCCCCCACCCCTCCCATAAATGGCCAAAGTATATTAGTTGGATTTGAGGTTAGTTGATTGTGAGATATTATAAAATATATCGATGTGAGTTTGTGAAATGTTGTGTAATCAAAGAGAATAGAATATATATTGGAGTGGAATTTAAACAATCCCTCGGTATGAATTTTTTCAGTCCCTTTCAGCCTGAAAGATAGTTCAAAGTGTACAAATCATGTAAATGAATTTTGAATTGTTTAAAGCTATTAAATAAACTTTATAATGAATTAGGTGAATAAAAAACATCATTTGATTTATAGTTATAACGGAAAATCATCGTTTGTAAAGTGAAAGGCATCGAGTCTATGTGAAATGACCATTGGTCAATTATAAAACCAGCCTGTTTCATAATTTGGTTTTCTTTTAATATTAATTTTAGATTTTCTCTAAAATGATGTTCCAGGGTCCAAAAGTTTATATTGCGCAAATATGTGAAGTACACCACCAGTATGGAAACAGTACAACAAAATGGCCGTTTTACACTATTTTATACTAAATTTCACTCTAATATATATTCTATTCTCTTTGTGTGTAATATTTGTTTTCAATAAAATTTTCTGACTATTTTGTTAGAAAATGAATAAATACTAGCATTTGTGGTCAAAAAGTACAATCATCTTTCAATATGGCTGGGCGTGTTAATACTTTTTAAAGATAGTTTGTTCCGCTTCGTTCTGTTCGTTCCCGTGAAAAAAAAAACAATCGTTTCAAAGGAACAACGCCCAGCCCTAGAGCTGGACAGGTTCCAACTTTTTATAGATCGTTCGTTCCGTTCTGTTCGTTCCCGTGAAAGACCGATTGTTCCCCAGGAACGATGCCCAGCCCTAACTGTCAGATACATCTGTGGAATATAATTTTGTATTACAGTGAGCAAGTAAGTAAGTAATTTACGTATAAAGCCTAAGAAATACAAACTAGAGTGTTGAGGATGAGATATCTTAAAAAACCTCTTAAGAAAAGAGGTTGTGGAGACTTTTCCCTCAAATTCAAAAAAATAAATAAAATATTTTTTACGGTTTTTATCGCCTTTTGACCAACATTACCGACCATATGCTTCCCCCAACAGAAGGAAGTTAAGTTACTTAACGTCCCTTGGGACAATTAAGTAAAATAACCATGCAACCGATGTGCGAAGTTTTCTTAAAAAAATTCGCACAGAAACGGATCTGTTATAAAGAGGACTGATCAATAAGTTGAGATTTCTATAAAAATTAAAACAGATAAAAATATGATGGAACCTTATCATCAATTTGGAAATGTACAAAACAATATTGAGAAATACATATTGAGCATTTATTTATTAACTTAATTTTGAGGAATACGGAGAATTCCTTAAGAACTAATATTATTTTTATTTCAGTTTTGTTCAGATATGATTAATATTATTATTATTATTAGAAATCCATAAATAAATGAATCACTGATAGACCGGCTGTAGGAGGGTGAATAGTCATTAACTCTTGCGAGCCACATAATTTTAGATCTACAGCCAAAATGAAAAAGTTTTGTATGCTGAACAAATGACTTGTTGTAAAAACAGTGGGATTTAATTAACCATGATGAGGAATTCCTACTTTGGGTCCGCAAAGTTGAAAAATTGCTGATTAAAGCTGAAGATGGAAAATGAACCGGTTCAGAATATATAGTAGGGCTGTTTTCCCTCCTCAAACAGAGCGTTCCGAACTATTTTGGAGACATAAGGCAGAAAAGGGGTGGGGATGAGGGGAAGATGATTGAGCCCTTGGCTAACTAGGTCTAAAGTCGCACCGGCACGAGCTACATTCCCGCAACAGGTTTTTGACTGCCATTTAACGGCAATTTGTTGCATATAATATAAGTTTTACTTTTTTTAAGGTTTTGTATTTTGTATCGAAAGAATCCTTAATATCCTTATATATAGATGTTTTCCAGTTGGTCATGTACTCCAGTTGTACACAATGGAATCTGGTGTACACAATGGAATCTGGTGTACACAATGGAATATGGTGTACACAATACTTTTGTTTTTAGAAACAACGAAAAATTTTTTTAAAAAGTAAATTCGATCCTAATAACTATCATGGTGTCGTTTTGATGAAATAAATGTAAATGACAAAAAATGTTTGTGTTGCACTTTATAAAGATTGTTGTTTTTTTTTCAGATAAACCATGGACCCAGAAAAACAGGGTTTGTTGGGTTCAGAGTCAAAAACTGAATATAGAAGTATTGATCCTAGGAAGGTATTGATTCAACAATTTTTCATAAAATGTGTTCAAAATCTAACTTCTGCAAAATGTCTATTCATTTATATAATAGATTATTATCAATTTTTAGGTAATTTTTGGACCCCCCCCCCCTCCCCTCTTCATCCAAAAATGAACATGCATTTTTTATTATGGTAAAGTTGGACTTACCAAATATCAAATGAATATTATAGATTATAAATGTTTGAAAATATAGTTGAAATCAGGGCCTTGCCCAAAATTGACGGAAGGGGAATGTGGTGGTGGGGGGGGGGGGAGTGAGTGAGTGGTCTAAAATCGTATCATATAGGACAGAGCCCAATTTTTTCAATTTTCTTATTTTCTACAAGTATTTTTTCCTTGAATGAATGTACTGCAGCAGGAAACCCCCTCTAGTGTTCTGTGTACATGGGAATAAGTGGGGAGTAGCAGAATGTTGTGAAGAACTAGATAGCACAGCAGTTCATTGTCATCAGGTAACAGAGTGGATAACAGGGTGATAACAGGACGGTAACAGGGCGGTAACAGGATGATAACAGGATGATAACAGGGTGGATAACAGGGTGGATAACAGGGTGGATAACAGGGTGGATAACAGGGTGGATAACAGGGTGGATAACAGGGTGGATAACAGGGTGGATAACAGGGTGGATAACAGGGTGGATAACAGGGTGGATAACAGGGTGGATAACAGGGTGGNAGTGGTAACGGGGTGGTTTCGTTCTTTATATTTTGTTACATTTATGAACTTAATTGTCTGCTTTTTTAATCTTTTCATCTTTTAATGCATTTTTTCATTTAAACGTCTGAATTAAAAGGATTCTTCTTAAAAATGTGATTCCAATTAGTATTTTAGCAATTCTCACAAAGTTCTTTTTTAAAATTTATAAGGATATTATTACAAGCATTAAAGGGTTTATTGCAAAAATTTTGAAATCATTTTCATATTTACATCTTTCTCAGATTTATTCTTTTTTCTTTCTTTATTTTTAGAATATTTGCAAAATATAATGTTTTTGATTTTATTTAGGACAGAACTGATGGTATAGATAAGAAAGCAAGGAGAAAATTAATATTAGCCAGCGTTCTATGTATATTCTTCATTATAGGTTAGGTTTAAAAAAATGACAATAAATCCAACGTTGAAATATTATGATTTTTAGATTTTCTAACCTTGAATTTGAATAAAAATTTTAATTTTTGCTCCGCATCCCAAACTAATTTCTGTACCGATTAAAAAGTTTTCTGAAACGTGACATTTTGTACATTTTGTATTCCTTATACACCGATTTAGCACTTGACATAAAGATCAGGATTGACAATTTTTTATCTTGTTGAAGTGCCCATTGCTTATGGATTTGAGGAGAAAAAAATTAGATTTTAAAAAAAATTTTTATTTGAACAAAAAATAATTTGTTATACCCATTGGTTCCCTCAAAAATGTCAGCCAATTTGTTCCAGCCGTTTGGCCAGCTATATTTAACAATACATACATATATATATAAATACATAAAAACTGTGTTTCATGTTGGACAATCTTCAGCAGCATGAGAGAAGAGCTTTTTTATTTAAAGATTAGCTGCCCCAGAACTCTTATTAACCCTAAAATGTCCAGGGGGGGGGATATGGATATATTTAAATAATACATGGCAAGCCCCCCTTTCTCCTGGACATACATGAAAGATTCTGTAGATGCAATTTCAAGTCTGTAGACTGGCAAGTTCGAATCACAACAGTACCATTTAAACCATTGTCTAATCTAGAACAGGTCTGATATCCTGTGAGGAGACATTGAGTGCCTAGGAAAATAAGAATATCTCCATCACTGATAATCAGACAGAGATCTCAATGATACTATTATTAATCGGACATGCAAATTTATAAACTTAGACAACAAAGACGACATTCTCAGTATAGAGCGATTCTGAATGTCGTCTTCATTGCCACCAACAAATCCAACCGATCGGAACGCTCCATTTCATGGTCACTGTCACGTGATCAATATATCATCTAATAGGAGCCTTCCTATTGGTCGCTAACCTTGTCATCAAAAACACCTGATATCACTACTCACCTGGAATACGTGTACAGTCCTCTTTAACTTTTATTTTATTTTAGGCGAGGTTGTAGGAGGCGTACTGGCCAATTCTTTAGCTATAGCAACAGATGCAGCTCATTTACTGACAGACTTTGCGTCATTTATGATCTCCTTGTTTGCTATTTATATGGCGTCAAAACCCAGAAGTCAGAGAATGAGTTTTGGTTGGCATAGGTTAGTAGAGTTAGTATTGATATAAATAACAGTTTTACTCGTATACAGAATGTCGTCGTAATTTCAAGCGACCAGCCTCCATTAAAATGGGGGCATACCAGATATATCCTTGAAAACTTTATCTGATCTTTGATAGGGCTTGAAAAGTGTTTAATTCTGATAATTTCGCCATTGTTTCTAAGCAAGAAATGTGGAAGTTGCTTTTGAAGAGAAACCAAAAATGAAAATAATTAGTTATAAAAACAAAAACATGGATATCTAATTCATACTTAATTCAAATTGATCCATCTATAGTTGCAATTAGTTCCTTTAAAAGAATATCCTAAATCCTTTTTTCTTTGAACAAAATATCCCGTGTTAGTGAACAAGATAGGTTTCAAGATAAATATTCAATAGTTAATGTCGACAAGCTCAAATATCATTTTATATGAAGTTATGAACTGTACAAGTTAAGATCTTGAGAGACCTAAGGAGTATAAGGAATGAAGGTAAAATGAAATGGTTAACAGACTGAATGCTGACTTTGACACAGTTTTTTATAAATATCTCGAGACAGCCTCAGACAGGGACATATCAGATAGAACTAATATTGGTCGCGATCAACACCTTAAATATTTAGGTGTGAGCCTCCCTTTCATTTTACCTAAACACTCCCTATAATTCCGGCACAACCCGGCAATCCATTCTAGATGTAGTAATTAAAACTACGAATATTGAAATTAGTCGTCGAATATATAAAAAAATCACTGATTATCTTGATCCGATGTTGAAACTGTGAAACGATTTTAATTTAAAAATTTGACAAAATAGATTTAATTGTATTGTTCAGAGCTGAAGTTCTTGGGGCAATTGTATCCGTTCTCATGATTTGGGTTGTAACAGGTTTGTACTTTCGTAAACCTTTCTGATAAATAGAAAATAAAATAACTGACAATTTTTCCTCAGATACTTTTTTCAAATAGTTTTGCACTTCGTAGATTTTCGGAGTTAAACAAAAAAAATGAATAATAACGTAAACGTAAAATCAAAACCAGAGGAGCTATGATGTTACAAAGTAATGCTGGTAAATTCAAATACATTTGACCTTTTCCTGTCTGTACAGCTGCAATTGTACTGCTGTATTGTACTGTTGTATTGTACTGCTGTATTGTACTGCTGTATTGTACTGCTGTATTGTACTGCTGTATTGTACTGCTGTATTGTACTGCTGCAATTGTACTGCTGCAATTGTACTGCTGCAATTTTACTGCTGTATTTTACTGCTGTATTGTACTTCTGTATTGTACTGCTGTATTGTATTGCTGCAATTGTACTGCTACTATTTTAAGAAGACATCATTTTAAAATTATTTTGTGTTCCAGGAATCCTGGTCTATCTAGCAGTTTTGAGAATAATTAATGGAGATTATGAAATTGATGCCACGGTAAATTAAACACAGAACGAATTTAAACGAACTTTGACAAACTTTGACAAACTTTGACAAACTTTGGACAAACTTTGAACAAACTTTGAACAAACTTTGGACAAACTTTGGACAAACTTTGGACAAACTTTGACAAACTTTGACAAACTTTGACAAACTTTGGACAAACTTTGGACAAACTTTGGACAAACTTTGGACAAACTTTGGACAAACTTTGGACAAACTTTGGACAAACTTTGGACAAACTTTGACATACTTCAACGAACTCAAACGAACTGCAAAATAATAGTTTTAAAAGCAAGATATATATATATATATATATATGAAGTGAGGATCATACATACAATACACACTTATAAATATATGTATGTATGATGAATGTATGTATATATATATGTTTTCTTGTTAAGATAATGTTGGCTACTAGTGGAGTGGGCGTAGGAGTAAATATTGTTATGGGATGCAGTTTACATCAACATGGTCATACTCATGGAGGTATGATACCATTTTTATACAAAACATACTCATGGAGGTATACCACCATTTTTATTCAAAACATACTCATGGAGGTATAATACCATTTTTATTCAAAACATACTCATGGAGGTATAATACCATTTTTATTCAAAACATACTCATGGAGGTATACCACCATTTTTATACAAAACATACTCATGGAGGTATACCACCATTTTTATTCAAGACATCAATCCTGAGGTGGTCGAATTTAAAGAATTGGAGCCGCGGCTCAAATATGATTGGTTCCACTTAAAATTGTATTCAATTTTTCAAGATTTAAGCTGGCGCTCAATTGAGACGGCTTTTTCGGTGATTTGAGACGCGGCTTAAATTGATTGAATTCAAACATTTTTCTTAAAAATATTAGAGCTGAAAACTTTTGAATGAGATATCCTTAATCCCAATTACTTAATCTGAGTATCCAATTGACACACTTTTGATTTTCTTCTTAAACCGTTCATTCTTTGAAAAAGTAAAGAAAAATCAAAACCGGTTTTTTTATTTAAAGAGTCCTGCCCGTTTTGTATATAATCTTAAATGGCGCGCAAAATTTCAAATTTATTGGCTTCATACACCTACTCTGATTGGTTGAATTTTATACACTTTTCAGGATACAAGTACAAGATAAGGTAACGATATTAAGAAAAAGAGAGGATCAAGCATCAATCTCAATATGCACCATGATCATACCCATGATATTTCGTAAACCCCTTAACCCAAATAGATTATTAAATACAATAGATTGCAACGTAGAATTTGTCCACTCTAAGTACAGCTGTATTCTACGTCACATGTGTCCGACAAAATTATTAATAATAGTGATAATAAAGTGCTTGTCTTACAATAAAATGAGTGCAATTTTAATGCTTGTTATTTTCTGTTTTTTTCACCTCTTATTTCATCTTGGAAAATATGTCAACTAATGGGAAAAAAATTTTCTTCCTTGTTATTGGACACTTGTGACGTCATGTATAATTGGTCCATTTCTCTGTTGCCACCTATTGTGCTAAATACTTAACCAATTTACCTCAAATTTTTATTGGGAAACAAAAGTGAAAAAATTGGGAATGCTCCTCGTCTGGTTTTATATTCTAAATTAAGTGGATAGACTTTAGTTAAGAAAGCACCGGGCTTGGTTTCCGAGCTAGTATTATTATATTAATGAAAAATATAAGATTTAACAAAAAAATTTCTGTTATATTTCTACCCCTCCCCCCCCCCCCCCCCCCCCCCCCCCCAATAACTGTTTAACTGTTCGGGACCTGGTGGTAATAATCATGAACATAGTCAAGAACAGAAGAATAATAATTTTAAGCTGTTCAGGACCTCGCGGAAATTATGAACATAGTCTTGAACAGATGAATATTAATGTTAAAGACTGTTCAGAATCTTGTGGGAGTCATGAACAGTCATGAACATAGTCATTAACAGAAGAATATTAATTTTATACTGCTCAGGATCTGGTGGAAATCATGAACATAGTCATGAACAGAAGAATATTAATTTTAAGCTGTTGAGGACCTCGTGGAAATTATGAACATAGTCTTGAACAGAAGAATATTAATGTTAAAGACTGTTCAGCATCTGGTGGTAGTCATGAACAGTCATGAACATAGTCATGAACAGAAGAATTTAATTGACTTTTATGTGCCGGGAGTAAGAACAGAATTTCTTAGACAATTTCCTTTTTACTAATTTCCCACTGCATGGAATTTTCTTTCGTCTGAATTTAAAGAAATAGCTCAAAAATCCATTTTTAAACAATCGTTAAAAGCCAAACTTCTCGATAATCTTAAAGATTTTCAATGTGAAAAACTATTTTGTAATTCTTGCTCCTCCCTTTAACTCTCATTTATTTTTATGTGTTCCACCCTGAGAATGAAGGTACCCGACCTCTCCTTGACGGAATCCTGTACGTTTATGAACAGTATCCTCTCCAGTGGCTCCAGCTCCCTCCATCCCATGAGCAGCATGACATCCAGCAGCACCTCTTCTTCAAGTCAGCATCATTGCAAAAACTGACTCTCCAGTGGGAGGCTGCGTGTTAAACAGCCCCTGGCTATCAATGCCTCCCCGTCTCAAGTTTATAAATATGTTTTAAAATATGATATTTTCTATGTTTTTGGCTTGGGACAAATATATATATTTGATTTGATTTGATTTGATTTGAAGAATATTAATTTTAAACTGTTCAGGATCTGGTGGAAATCATGAACATAGTCATGAACAGAAGAATATTAATTTTAAGCTGTTCAGGACCTCTTGGAAATCATGAACATAGTCATGAACAGAAGAATATTAATGTTAGACTGTTCAGGATCTGTTGGGAGTCATGAACAGTCATGAACACAGTTATGAACACAGTGATAAACAGAAGAATATTAATGTTAAACTGTTCAGGATCTGGTGGTAATCATGAACATAGTCATGAACAAGAGAATATCAATGTTAAAGCAGCATTCATTCACGTTGTCGGAGACTTTATTCAGTCGTTAGGTTAGAAACATTTAATTTAGAGAATTCAACGTCAGAAGGCGTTAACGACAGTTATGAATTTCTTCAACGATGTTTTTGACGATTTATGATATTCAAAGTTTACCAAAAGTATCGATGAATCTAGTTAAAGGTACTGTCTTAAGCTTATTTTAAGTGAACTTCCCTTTAAAGTTACATGCCCGGATTTCCAAGTTACATGCCCGGATTTCCAAGTTACAGTGGGAAACCCTAAATATTATTTTTTATAGGAGTTTTCATTGCTGCTCTGGTGATTTACTTTAAACCTGAGTGGGTTATTATTGATCCTATCTGTACCTTTATATTCGGTATCCTGGTCCTTCTCACAACCATCAAGATACTCAAAGATACAGTATCTGTTCTTCTTGAAGCAACCCCACCAGGAGTTGATTATGAGGTAATCAATGAGGATTCATTTAAAGAGACTGTTCGCGTAAATTTTACTGGTTCTTAAAACAGAGATTACTACTTTATATATAGATAGAGATGTATTATATAACTGTTAAGGTTGTAAGAAACACCTTCCTCTCTGTTGACGGAATCAGACAGATTCATAATCTCCGTATCTGGGGATTAACTACAAACAAGACTGCGCTAGCTGCTCACCTCGCCATAGAGAAGGGACATAATGCACAGCATGTTCTCTCAGATGCTACCAGGAAAATCAGAGACAGGTATAAAAACAAATTATTATTGTGCCCAACCTAAAATATTTCGTTTCGAGATCTGTAAATTTACTTTTTGTAAATTTTTGCCTAAGCAATTTAAAATGAAAAAATATAAAAGAAAATGATATGCCATGACCTTTGTGTAAAATATCGTTAATTTTAAAACGCTTGATCTCCATATTCAATGCGGGCGCTTTTAAATTTAAGGATAAAAGTTATCTGTGCAGGGTATCGAAGAGAAAATAAATTTATCTGTAGTTCTCTGAATTCGATGCATCGAGATCAGTGCTTGATCCTGAGATTCATGACTTGAAAGTTGTGACAGGGTTTCAAAATGATACTCTTTAACTGTTGGGCTCTGAGTTGTGTTCGTAAACAATGTTAGAAATTTGAATAACTGCAATTTGTGGAAACTTTTGAACGAAAAAAGACCAAGTAAAAAAAATTTACATTTGTTTCTCATATATGAAGTGTTTTTTAGAGATGCACATTGTTAGAATTTTTATTAACTTAATTATCAGAATTGATTTCACTTTTTAATGCGACCTGATCAGGGGGCAGGCATAACTCTCCTAATTTTGCCTGGCTAGGTTTATACTGTACAGTGAATTTTGTCGAAAAATGTTTCCTTATGACTGAGTTGGTATCATAGAGTACAGTGGGTTTAATCCTAAGTACATCTATTTGTACGGTATTGTGTGGACAGTTAATTTTAATATTTTTCAACAATGAGATATTGTAGTGTCAAAAATTGTGTAAACAACGATGTTTCGGGTTCAGAAATTTTTCAAAACATACGAAAAGACCCAATTTTTATATGCAGTGAACATTTTGACAAAAACTGTTATAGAAACAAAGATGGGTTGTGTGAAAAACTCATTACAGGTCGCAAGGCATGACCACTAATACCAAAGAGAGAATCTAAGCAAAGAACAGCTTTTCGAGAGATTGCAACAATCAACATTAAAGGCTAAAGAATTTCAGCAAAAGTTGCATTTATCTGAAAAAAAGAAAAGGAACTTGGAAGAAAAGGTTGAGAGGCTTGAGGAAACCATTACAAATTTAAAAGAAAAGTTCAGCATCCCCTGATGAAACAGAGTGCTTGTTTTCTTTGCTTGAATATTGTAGGCTTCACTTTCAAACAATGTTGTCTTAAAACACTGATCTACGAATTATGATCCCCCCAGGTAGAATTTCTGATCGGGTCATTGTGTACAGTGGCTGTACAACAAGAAGTCTAAAATTCCAGATGCCCCCTCTATTACTAATATCTCGATGGACCTGATCCATTTTTTCTACAATTTCATATATAATTATTTATGTTAACTTTTTTATTTCCAGGTATGATCTGTATGAAATGACTCTTCAAATAGAAGAATTCCAACCGGAAATGATCAGCTGCGGACAGTGTAAAGATCCATCCAAATAATCCGCTGTTAACATTGTGTAGATCTATCCAAATCATTAGCTGCTTACATTGTGTAGATCTATCCAAATAATCAGCTGTTTACATTGTGTAGATCTATCCGAATAATCGGCTGTTTATATTGTGAAGATCTATCCAAATAATCAGCTGTTTACATCATGTAGATCTATTCAAATAATCAGCTGTTTACATTGTGTAGATCTATCCGAATGATCAGCTGTTTATATTGTGTAGATCTATCCAAATAATCAGCTGTTTACAATGTGTAGATCTATCCAAATAATCAGCTGTTTACATGGTGTAGATCTATCCAAGTAATCAGCTATTAACATTGTGTAGATCTATCCGAATAATCAGCTGTTTATATTGTGTAGATCTGTCCAAGTAATCAGCTGTTTACATTGTGTAGATCTATCCAAGTAATCAGCTATTAAAATGTAGATCTATCCAAATAATCAGCTGTTTACATTGTGTAAATATATCCGAATTATCAGCTGTTTATATTGTGTAGATCTATCCAAATAATCAGCTGTTTACATTGTGTAGATCTATCCAAATAATCAGCTATTTACATTGTGTAGATCTATCCGAATAATCAGCTGTTTACATTATGTAGATCTATCCGAATCATTAGCTGTTTACATGGTGTAGATCTATCCAAGTAATCAGCTATTAAAATTGTGTAGATCTATCCAAATAATAAGCTGTTTACATTGTGTAGATATATCCATATTATCCGCTGTTTATATTGTGTAGATCTATCCAAATAATCAGCTGTTTACATTGTGTAGATCTATCCAAATAATCAGCTATTTACATTGTGTAGATCTATCCGAATAATCAGCTGTTTACATTGTGTAGATCTATCCGAATAATCAGCTGTTTACATTGTGTAGATTTATCCGAATAATCAGCTGGTTATATTGTGTAGATCTATCCAAATAATCAGCTAATTACAGTGTAAAGATCAATCAAAAAAGCATCTGTTTACAATGTAAAGATTTATCCAAATGATCATCTGTAAAATGTGTACTTAATACATTATGTACCTAATTTGTACTTTTGATTGTTGATAAAAAAAATTTTTATCAAAAAGAGAAAGTTTTGTGCGAAGCTTTAGATGTTCCTTTCGCACTTATTTCTCGCCACAGGATCTGATTTTTTAATCTTTTTAATATTTTTTTTTTGGAAATTACGAGTTTTTTAACCCCCTCAAGGGTTCACTCAAAGAATTTTAGCTAATTTGGTTTGGCTAACTATAGCTAGCATAATATATACAAATTTACAAATATATCGCGAAGAACTTCATCAATATATACTAGCTGATGTTAGTACACAACTCAATAAGTGAACTTTTATACCCCCCCCCCTTTTTTCCCGCTATCTGGTTGCAGCTAGGGTTAAATAAAACCAAACATGTCAGTTTTACTAAATTAGCTTTATACCCTTGAATTGGTAAAAGTTCGTTAAGTTTATTCAAGATGTATTGAATTTGAACTTTTTATATTTAATTTAATTTAGTTTAATTTCACACGTGAGTAGCTTTCCTTACACCTGGTAAATGCTGTTAATGTAGTACAGTATGGTCCAAACTTGATATTCCCCCCCCAACCCCTGCCTCAAAATTGTGATGAAATTTCAAGCAGTTGTTCATTACCCCTCCCCCCTCCCCCTTCTGAAGTAAATGGGGGAGAAAGCTTACATAAAAAAGAACATCAAAATATTTAATAGAAATAGCTTTTTATTAACAAGAGCAAATTGTTTTCATCACTTGCTTCTTCTTGTGCTTGTATTCAGATTTTTAATTATTTTCAAGTTTATTATTACTAGAGTAAGGTATTTAACATGTTTTCGCTTAATTCAAATTTAAGTATTCCTTTTAATTTAAAATACTTGCTACAAAGTACGTTTTTTGGACTAGTTAAAAAATTTTTAAACTTTTTTCTTCAAATATATTTATAGAAACTGTAGAGGCTTAAATCAAAGAATTCTCTCTAGAGAAGCATGTCCGATACACGACAATACCCTTTAACCGTTATTTGATCAATGTTGTAGAAGATATCATTGTTTTCCTACCTTCAAAAAGTGTTCTTTTTCTCACAATTTCCTCTCGTTGTTCCTATAGCAAGAAATCTGCAAATCCGCGACTGAAGATCATAAATTTGTAGAAACAAAAACAAAGATAACAATTCACGGTATAAGCTTAGCCAAATGTTTAAAGGGTACCATTGTGTATCGGACAAAGGTTTAAAGGATACCATTGGGTATCGGACAAAGGTTTAAAGGGCTCCATTGTGTATCGCATATGTCCCTCTATTAATGAAGGATGACGTACTTAAACACAGAACTAAATTCGTAATTATTTATGAATTTTTAAAAAAAATGTTATCATATTTATCTCTTTCAATCATTAAAACAAGTGTTTTGTTTGTAAAAAATTTGAAAAATATTACGTAAGCTGTGGTTTTTCATAATTCATAATAGCTTTTATTGTAGTTTTTATTATTACTACGTAGAAATGTACTTTTAAAAATTCAAAAACACTATTTGCAAGACAACAGAAAAAATAATACGTCTGGATTAATTATATTTTAAAGACCTGATCGGTACAAGCCAATTAAATTAGATATTTTTTCTATCTAATGCAAAGTTTCTACTGCAGTTAAACGGATGCTTTGATTTTTTTTTTTGGTATAAATTCAAGTTTTTTGGCCCCCCCCCCCCCTCCCATGATCCCATCAATTTGTAAATAGGATTATTTAAATATATGTTGGTCTTAGCCGGCCAAACAGCTGAACCAAATTATCTAAATTTTGAAGGGACCCCATGAATACCCCGGGGATGATATAGAGACAAATAATTTTATACATTTTTGAATTTCCACACTTCAGGTACAAATTACAAACATGATTTAATACAAATCGCTGGTGAACGGCGGGAGTAACTTTGACAATAAATAATGATATAAATCTGGGCAACGCCGGGAACTCCAGATAGTTGTATTTATTTCTCTCTGTTGTCCATTCTAGTCTCTTCTAGATATGAAGAGACCTTTATTTCTCTCTGTAGTCTAAAGTAGTCTCTTCTAGGTATGAAGAGACCTTTACTTCTCTCTGTAGTCTAAAGTAGTCTCTTCTAGATATGAAGAGACCTTTATTTCTCTCTGTTGTCTAAAGTAGTCTCTTCTAGGTATGAAGAGACCTTTATTTCTCTCTGTAGTCTAAAGTAGTCTCTTCTAGATATGAAGAGACCTTTATTTCTCTCTGTTGTCTAAAGTAGTCCTTTCTAGGTATGAAGAGACCTTTATTTCTCTCTGTAGTCTATAGTAGTCCCTTCTAGGTATGTAGAGTCCTTCATTTCCCTCTATAGTCTATAGTAGTCCCTTCTAGGTATGAAGAGACCTTTATTTCTCTCTATAGTCTATAGTAGTCCCTTCTAGGTATGTAGAGTCCTTTATTTCTCTCTGTTGTCTATAGTAGTCCCTTCTACCATTTCTCTCTATAATAGTCCCTTCTATGTTTCTAGAGTCCTTTATTTCTCTCTGTAGTCTATAGTAGTCCCTTCAGTTTGTGTGTATAGGTGCCGTGACAAACTCCTGAAAGACAAACTCCGGAAAGACAAACTCCGGAAAGACAAACTCCTGAAAGACAAACTCTTGACGAGACAAACTCCGGACGAGACAAACTCCTGAGAGACAAACTCCTGAAATTATGAAATTTTTCTCTGAATGAAATTTGATAAAATTCATAAACTTTAGAAGAAAAATCCGCAAATATTCTAGAAAAAA